TTAATGGGGCGGGGAAGCACCCAAGTAATACATGCGAACTAGAGATGCTAACTTGTGAAATCAAAGGCCGGTTGCCAAGTGTTGGTTTCGGATGCACCGTGGCGTCAGGCTAATCCCTGGGCTGCTGAACACATAGCCAACCAAACAACCTCAAATCATCAAGTCTTAAATCGCGAAACCCTGAAATTCTAAATCCTCAATCCTTACAAGCCCTAAGCCCCTGTTGGCTTTGACTTAATCCTGCCATGCGGTTGGGACACAACATCTAAGGTTTACGGATGTTTAGGGTTTAGACATTTAGTGCCCCCCCAAGAAAAGCGGTCCGGTGGCCCTGAAGCATATGTCGTGACTTGGCTGCACAGGATATGGACGTTGCTGTGGGGCTTCGTTAGGGCATGATAAGGTTTAGGGTTCAGGGTTCAGGGTTTACGTTTAAGGTTTAGGCTTTAGGGGTCCCATCGGCTATGTTGGAAAACTGGGTCTTGAAAAAGCCTTGCTGGACTGAGCGAAGCAAGGGGAGTTCAGTGTCTAGGGTTTTGGGGTTTAGCGTTTAGGGGTTTGTGCGTAGGGGTGCCGAAGGACCGAACGTCCACCATCAGAATTGGAACATCTTATGCCACTGAAATTCAGTTCAAGCATCTGAACTCGACGCCCGAAATTACATCCCTACGCCCAGGGAGCAGGTGAACCCCACAACCCTAAGCCCGAACCCTAAAACTCTGAAAGTCCTGGAAGCCCCAAACCTTAACTACCAGTTTAGGGTTTAGGGTTTAGGGTTTAGGGGTTTAGGGTTTAGGGTTTAGGGTTTAGGGTTCAGTCAATCTGCTTCATCCTGAGGTTGGTGAGGAGGTGACGATCAGCTACCTCTCGGACGAAGAGCTCTTTGAGGCCGAAGTTGTTCACACGAATGTTGGTGTCAGGGTTTATGGTCCCTGCTAATGGTGCCTTCTGTAAACCTTAACCTCCATGGCCTAAACCCTAAACCCCTAACTCTCCAGTTGCATCAAGGCCAGGATGTTTGCAGTAGTGAGCCAAGATTCTGATAAACCTAAGTCCCTAAACCCTAAACCCTGCAATGCGGGCTTCGTGCTAGCTAGGTGGGAGGCAAAAAAAAATCCTGAAAAGAACCCTTGAGCTTAAGCCCAAAAGCCGGGCTGGGCAGCCCTATTGTGGCGAAGCGTGCGCTGGGGTTTCGGATTCAGTGGTTTAGGGCTTAGGGTTTGGGGTTTGGGCTACTGGGATTTCGGGCCTAGGGTTGAGGGTTTTATTCGGGTTTAGGGTTTAGGG